CCTTCCACAGCAGAGGTGGGGAAGGGGAGACCCTGGAGCGCCAGCAACCTTCTGACAGTTTACCCAACACACAGGCTGCTCCCCTCAGCAGAGCCCCCCAGAAAGCCCAGCCACCTGCAGCAGGGCCCCCCTCACTTCAGGGGCATGGGCTGGGTGCACCAGCAGCACTGGTAGGAGTTTGCTGTAGACAAGTGAATCAGTGCAACAGATGAGCAGCTCCTGAAGCATCTACCCACAGTGTACAGCAAGAAGAGATGGAATTTCAGGCTTATGGCAGATGCTGGAGGGTTCGTGGTGCTAAAAAAAATTTAAAAAATAAATCTCAACACCTACATATAATAGATAGCTTTCTAGGACAAGGAAATCCTGCAGTAGCTGGAAGAAAACCAATCACAGTTCCCAATTACATTTGAGGTAAGGAAACAGAACACGGTCCAAAACAACATCTCCTAAAGGTCAGTTTCACAAAACTAGAAAGAACCAGACACAAAAATAACTGAGAGAAAACATCTAAATATAAGTAAGTGTGACAATGCTTATTGGAGGATGTTTAAAGATGCCTTAGTAGAGCCCTCTTTCCCACCAAAAAAAGCAACAGTATATTTTTTAGAAAATATTTGGTTTAAAATAGAAATTAAGACAAGAGCCAAATTTTTAAAAAAGTAAAAAATTTAAATCTACTATAAAATTAGAGCCAATTTTATAGAATTCAACACATTTTATAAAGAAAGCTAAAGGATATTAAAAAAACAGAGGCAATAGTTCTATCAGGAAAAAAGCAACAATCTATCAATATATTAGGCTTGATGCTAAAAAAGTACAGGGAAAGTATCCTGATATAGATGATACAGAAAGTATAAGTATTACTTCTTATCTTTGCAAATAAGGATGACTTAAATCTCAGCTATAGCAAAATTCTCTGAGAAGCAAGTTGGGAAGATCCCCAGCACCATCTGCTAACCATCCTCACATCTGTAACGAGAAAACCTGGACTCAGAGCCTATGAAGGAGCTCACCCAAATTCCTAACATTGACTTCAAAAAAAAAAAACAAACCAGAAGCCTGTCCCAGGCCAGCCAGGAAGTTCCAGAGGTCTTGGGATAATAAATAAAAAGCCCTGCTCAAGCAAACAAAAACTTAGCCCAGTGCCAGCGTTTCCAGAGGGCAAACAGCTGACCCGGCAGTGCAGGCTGGTCACCCTGCCCGTGCTCAGGGATGGAAACACAACTCCTGTTAGTCAACAGAGTTTTCTGGCTGGAGGGCTTGTCAAACAGATCTAGGATTTCTTCTGAGAGTTTGCATTTGGCTGACAAAGGTAACTGTTGACATAATACATCCAGACTTGTGTGTGACGCCCGACTTTGGCTGGGGTGACAGTTCAAGAACAAAATCCCCTCGCTATGCAAACAGCCCTGTATAGTGTATATCCAAAGGATTAAAAGCCAGTGACCTCATTAGAGTTGTACCTGCTCTGCCTGCCCCTAGAGAGGGTTTGGATCCCTAGAAATGACATTCCCAAGAGCAAAAAGGGCCTGTGAGGCAGCAGAAATTGCTCTCTGCACACGAAGCTCCAGGCAGCACTGCTGGGAGACATGGGTTTCCAGGGAATGCATGTTTGGGCTCTGTGCCTGAGTTTGCACTGAGTTCAGAAGAACTAGAGGAGGGTATTGCCAGAGCCTCTGCCTAGGGAGCAGGCTAGCTCATTGAAAAATATTGGCTGGTTTTAGAGCTGATTTTCACACTTGTAAAGCTGGCCAGAGGCAGAATGGAAAGCTGTAAACTCAGCCATGCCAGCAGCCCTTGGCGGGTCCTGATCCCGCACGCGCCCCATTGTACACAGCTCGCTACCATTGTTTCTTACTTGGGTCCCAGTCTGTGCTCAGCACTCTGAGCACCTCCCAGTAACAACACGGGGCACATCAACTTACCTTACACTTTCCCAGATGGAAAGAGAAGCAGTGTGATTTCTCTGGAAAGAGCAAGTTCTTCCCAACTCCCGCAGTGGCCAGAGCAATAGAAGGATGATTAGGTTTGTCAAAGATTTCAGCTGCCAAAAAACTTCACCCCTCCCATAGAAACATAGAGACATCTTTCCTGTGAGAGGAGCAGGGTTATTCTTCACACCCCTCACCCTCAATCATGTCACTGCCCTGCATTGAGGACATACAAACCAAAGCCTGGAGCTTTTTTTGAACCTCTCTGACCACACAAATACCTCCAAGTGTCCAGGTAACCCTGGATGTAGGGAAGCCCAACACCAGACATTCTCCAGCATGACTGGCTGAACAGCCAGCTGTGGATGTGAGCTGTCTACCACAGAGCACACCTGGGGCTTTCAGTGAATCCCAGTTTCCTCTGCCCACAGGCAACACTCACTTCCTTCTCCTTGTTCAGTTCCAGGCAAATGCTGATGTGAGGTGCTGCCCAACAGTCACACTCCTGTAGCTATGTGCCATTGCAGCTGTGGGCAGTGCTGAAGTGACAAGGGACAAGTTCTTCAAAAGCATCCAGGGTAACAGACCAAAAACCCCACCTCACAAGAGAGATCACCCACCACAGCCACTGAAGCAGTGCCAGTTACACACCCTGAACTGAACCCAGCTTATCCTGACAATACAGTTTTAGCACCAGCTGGGTGACCTTGCGTGAGCTTGCTCCAGAAACAGAAGACTTGGTCCTTCCAGGATTTGGCAAGAGCTGACACAGCCATCACAGGTGCCCCTTTTCATTTATTGAACTGGCTTAGGCTGTATTTGCACATGAGCAGATAAACTCTTTGTCCAAAGGACTTCAATCTGGCTGCTGAGCTCCAGATGAGCCCCTCTCATTCACGTGGCTGCTCACATGCCAGGAAGAGCATGAACTGAGCTGAGATCCCTGACTTTTTGTCCTGCATCCAGGGAGGCTGGCAGACTGCTTACATCCCAACACAGAGAGATGCAGGACTGTCTGAATACCCTAAGCACATATGACCTTTTTAGCAACACAAGATGACAACACTCAGATGCAGGTTAGACATTTTACTTTACTGAATCAAACCACCACCACTGGCCTGACCACCTCACCCCCCTGCTGCTGAACCCCTTTGCGATTTAGCATAGGAATTCCCAGTTTAGGCTGTGACTGAAGCAGGAACAGTGCTCAGGTGAACAAAACAGGATGGGTCTTGGGACTTGCCACAGCTTCAAAGTCTGTCACACTGAATTCCCCACTAGTCACACTCACGTTCTGTCTACAAGAGCCACGTCCCCTCAGATCAGGAAGGTTAGCACTGTTTGCACTTGTGTTGACTTTATTCCTATACACCGACAGCTCGTACAGAGAGCAGACAACAGGCTACTGACAAGGACTAAGATCTGGAAAATATCTCCGGGATCACTTCAACACAAAGCTGTTCTTTTTCACTTTCACGGGAGCTTTAACTCAGCTCACAGTGGAGGCAGTCTCAAAACATGAAATGCATTCAAGTGATCAACGAATTGAAAGGTAATAAAAGCTGTTAATAGCTTCAAATCTGCTGGCAGCCAGATAACATAAACAGCTAGTTATCTTGGGAGAAGGGCAGGGTGCTTTTCTTCCCCAGAACCACCGATTACTGGCTCGCAGGACCCACATTTTAAAGCAAAGCTGAAGAGAAGCGCTTTTCCAGCTACACTGCAGTTTCTCATAAACCCAGCACAGCCTGTCTGTGTAGCTCTGGGCAGCGTTTTATGCACGAGTTAAAAAGCAACTCACTATTCAGGGTCACTGCATCCAGTGCCTGCCCAAGCCAATGGCCATTTCTGTGCTTTCTTTCATTAATAAATCAATCAAATGTTAGAGGCACTGGAGTGAAATCGTCCTCTCAGCCTTATCTATCCGGTACTTTTACTGAACCTTGCTGAGTTACTGCTTATTTACAGGAGACTGAGAGGGACAGTGAGACATCAGCATCTCAAAATACTTGCAACTTGCACATCGTAAACACCACAGATATTTCATTAAAGCCACTTTACAAGCTATAAAACTGAAGGTCATTTTATGTCTCTCTCTATAAAAGCAGACAGTGATATAGTCCTCAGTAAAACATACTCTATGGTACAATATAAGCAGCACTACACAGACTACTTGAAACTCCTTACAGAGCAACGTATATCCAGGATAAGTTCTCTGTTAATACTGATATCCAGTATTTCTTTGCTAAAATAACAAGACTTTGAAGGAAAGAAATTGACATCCTCAAACAATACAGCCTTCTTGAAAATACTGAATAGTATCAGTTTAACAATTTTTCTAGATGAATTCATTAGGGAGGTCAATACATAAGGCTACAAGGCAGACTTCCAAGTTACCCGTGGAAAAAAGACGTAAATTCTTCACTGTGCTTTCAGCATAGCAGGTTTGTAATAAAAATACTAAAACACTGAAAGGCTGGAACACAAAAGCAAGTGTACAACGTTGTAATGGACTTGTCTTAAAAACCCGAGCTCTCCTGCTCAGCACCTGACGCGGCACTCGGAGTCGTCCTCACCTGCACCTCTGCCCCGCTCCTTCCAGCGCGGCTCGCTGAAGGGACGTGGGTTTTACCTGAGCTGGCTCCTCCGTCTGCAGCTGCCTCTGGGGGACAAAAGTTTCGAAAAGTCGGAGGACAGCAGCAGCAGCGGGACGGGACGGGCAGAGAGCGAGCCGGGAGCCCCGCGGCAGCCCGGCCACCGGAGGGAAGCGACGGGCGGGCACTGCTGCGGCTCAGCGGCAGCTCGGAGCCCTCGGCCGGGGCAGAGCGCACCCGGGGCTCCCCAGCGGAGGTGCCCTCACCGCCCCGATGCCGTTCTGCTCTCGCCGCCGCCCGCGGGCTCCTGTCCCGCCAGCAGCGGGGCCGTGCGGGGCCGGGCCGGCGGAGCCCGGGGCGCGGAGCGGAGCGGTGCGGTGAGGTGCGGTGAGGTGCGGGGCCACTCCGCTCCGCTGGGGCCGCTCCGCTCCGCCCGCCCCTCGCGCCCGCCCCGCGCCCGCCTCGCGCTCACCGGCGTTGCGGAGCTTCTTGTTCCGCAGCACAGACAGGATGACCAGCGCGTTGCCCAGCACGTCCACCACGATGGTGAAGATAAGCACGGCCGCCAGGCCGGTGGCGGCTCCCGCCGCCGGGCCCCCCTCCAGCCGGCAGCCTGGGCAGCTGCCGTTGCTCCCCGGCCGCTCCATGCGCGCCTCTGCCCACCGCCGCCGGGGCCCCTCCTCCTCCTCCCGCCCCGACGGCAGCTCTCACCCCCGGGCCCGGCCCGGCCCGTCCCGGGGCGAGCCCGCCGCCCCCTCCCCGGCGGTGCCGCCGCCCTGCCCGGGGCGGAGCGGGGGGGCCGGGCGGGGGTGCCCGGTGCGCGCCGGGGGCACTGAGGCGCTCTCCGGGCCGATGGCGCCACCGCGCGGCGGCGGCGGGCGGCGCGGGGCGGGGCGGGGGCGGCCGGGGGTCCCCGCTCGGAGCCGCCGGGCCCACAACCCCGCCGGGACCCGCAGCGCCGCTGGGCCCACAGCCCCGCCCGCCCCGCGGCTACGCTGGGCCCACAGCCCCGCCGGCCCACAGCCCACCGCCCCGGAGCCCCGCCCGCCCTCTCCGCGGGACCCGCACCCCGCCCGGCTCCGCTGCCGCCGGGACGCTCGCCCGTCTCCGCCCTCGGGCACAGGTGCCGGCAGGGAGAGATCACGAGGCGAAGTTTCGCACCTCGAGTCGCTGAAGCCTTTCCGGTGCCTTTGCTTCCCATCGCCCCGCGGCTCCGCTCCCAGCCAGCCACCCCTCAGGCAAACCCATCCCCACAGGGACTTTTTCAACACATTACGCCAGAATAAGACCATTCACTTTCGGTTTAGTACTTTTAACCGATTGTAACGTGTGCACTGCAGAATCCCCAGCAGTAATTTAAACAGCAGCCCCCTCACTCAGCGGCTTCTCAGCCGGGATACACAGCTCCCATAGCCAGAATACCCAGTTCCCACAGCCCAGCCCCATGGTTGGGGCTTCCAGGCACTTTCTGTGCTTTATCCCACACCACCATGAGCAAGAGGACACCAAACCATTGTGGTCAGGCTGTGGCTGCAATACCGCAACCACACGAGCTCTCAGCTTTGTATGGAAAACAAAATCAGAAAAGTGAAAATAAGGATACTATAGAAGCATGGAATGGTTTGAGTTGGAAAGGACCTTAAAGATCATTCCATTCCAATTCCCCGTGCTGTGGGCAGGGACACCTTCAGGAGCACCAGGGTGCTCAGAGCGCCATCCAGCCTGGCCTGGAACATTTCAACTGATGGGGCATTCAGAGCTGCTCTGGGCAACCTGTGCCTCGTCATCCCCAATAGTCAAAAATTTCTTCCTTGAATCTAATCTAAACCCACCCTCTGTCAGTTTATAGCCATTCCCTGCCCTTGTCTAAAGTCCTTCTCCAGCTCTCTTGTAGCCCCTTTAGGGACTGGAAGGTGCTGTAAGGTGTTCCTGACACTTTCTCTTCTCCAGGTTGAGCAGCCCAGCTCTCTCAGCCTGTGTTCACAGCAGAGGTGCTCAGCACCAGCCATGGGCAGGACAGAGGGCAGGACCATGCTCAGGCTGTCCAGCACCACCTCCAGCTCCTGCCCAAAGCCTCCCCTCTGTGTGCAGGTCAAAGTGTCCAAGCAAACATTAATGTTGTGTCACAACCCACCATGGGCATTTTATTGCTGCCCGGTCGAGTGAGTCAATAACAGAGCAAAAAGCAAAGCCTTTGGTGGCTCATTCCCTGCCAGCAGAGACCAGCAGCAAACAGGGCCTGCCGTGGCCTGGTGGCCCAGGGTCAGAGCTATCAAAATCCTTGAGTTGTTAAAGACAGCATTTTGCCTTGACATGTAGCTTCTTTTGGCTTCCTTTTGACCTTCTGCACTGAATTCTGCATAATTTTGAAAATATTTTCTCCGTGTAAATCAAATGATTTTGTTCATGGACTTTCAGCTGCTCTGTTCTCCTGTCTTACCTGCAGACAGGAGTAAGGTGAAGTCTCATGGACATATCCTTTCAGTCCCTTTCACCTTCATTCTGCTCTTCTCTGTCAGTTTTGCACCATGTATAAGATGCTCTCAGGAGTGTTTCAGCTGTGGAGAATGTGGATGTGACTTCAAAGGACCTGAACTTTACATAAAAGTGTCTTGGCAAGAGCACCAAAGCTACCCAAAAAAGATTTTGGCCTCAGACTTAAAAAAACCTTGTTCACAGAGCAGTGCAAGGTAAAGGGGGTGTAACATTTCATTAAACAAATGCAACTGGAAAAACATTAAAAGGGCTTTTAATCTGGACACTTTTTTTGGTGTGTAATTTATACCTGCAAAAAGCAGCTCTTTTTCCACAGCCTGGGGTGACTGCCCTAGACAGGCAGGTCTGCAGAGCTCCACCAGGCATGTGTGCATCTGCATAGCTGCAGCAACTAATCTTCCATAAGAAACTTAGAAGAAATTATGATAGATGTAGTGAGCAACTGTTTTCATCACTGGAGTGATTTAGATGAATGATCTTCAGGCTGTTTCCTCCCACCTTCCTGCTAAATGGACTCTTCACTGCTTCAATTAAGACAAGGCAAGCAGTGGCAAGGGAAAAAAATTAAGGTAGAGGTATCAATGAGACCCTTTTAATTACACTTTACCAGAACTGCTGACATAAATCACACTGAAATAAGAGTATCCCCAGTGTGTTAGAAGAATTTAGGCTCATTTGAAAGGATCATGAACATGATCACAGGAGAAGGCACCTGAATTAGGGCCAGAAACCAGAACCCTTCAGTACGTGAACTACACCAGGGAGAGAAGGTACATGCATGCAGACAGGAAGACCAAGTAGAATGTAATCAGTGCAAAATATTCCAGCACCATAAATGCACACTCTGCATGTGCAAAATTGTCAGAGCTTTGCTGACAGGGAGGCTGGCAGGGGCAGTGCCTGGCACCCTCCTGCCATGCCCATCACAGCAGCCCTGTGCAGAGCATCTCTCATCCCTCCCTGAGCACGTCCAGTGGCACAAAACACCCCCATTTCACACCCCTACCTACCAGGGCACACAGCTTAGTAAGAGTTAATCCAGGTATACTGCAATAAATGGAAGCTTACATAATTGAAAAATAGCTGAGGCATTAATCTTCCTTCTCGCTACCTTGAGTCCTCTTTAAAAAGATTATTTTGTCTTCAGAGACAGCTTTAATGCTACTTAATGAATCGCTTATAAATGAAGATTTTTTTTCCCCTCCTTTACAGGGACAGGCTGACTACTACCCTGATTGTCACAGAGACAATTAACTTTTGTCAAATATACAAAGATAATAGCTGTTCTCTACAAATACTACTATACCGAATTTGGCATATTTAAGGCAAATTTTTCTTGCTGTTTTGACTAAGTATGCTTAGTGACAGTGACATACCCATTCCCTTTAGCCAGAACTGGGGAACTCCTCATGATGATTAGTGGCCCCCTGGGCATAGGCTGGAACAGGTAGGTTAGCACTGAATCAGGAACACCAGGTTGGAAATTTCAGAATTCCAACATGAGCTCATTCAAAGGTATCTTGGTGTCCCACTTCAAAGGAGGGAGGAGACATGAAAAGAAAGGAGAGAGATACAAAATCAGAGTCTCAATTTCCACGCTGCCTGTCTCAGTTGCAGACAGGGCGCAGGCAAGCCATCTTTGATCTGTAACTCCCTCCTTGCAAAAGCAGTACCAGGACCCCAGGGACCACCAGAACCATGGGGCAGGTTAGTGGTTTCATCACTGAAAATAACTCCCAGTGAGCTGCAAGGGCAGTTTTATAGTCACTCCTGACACTGAGGTCCCCAAGCAGTAACACTCAGTTGTCTCCCTTGCCCATGTCCCACCAAACACCTGCTCTGTTCCCCAGATCCACACATGCAGGGCAAAGATGCTGAATGAAGCTGAACCCCTCTTCTCCCACCACACCAGCCTAGACAAGTGCCTGTATTTATTTCTAACAAAAACAAATGAAAGTTGTAGTTTCTCAACACATGGGCATTTTGACTCAAGCAATGGCCTTTGGGAGACACACGAAGCAGAAGCAGAAATAAGGCTGATAAATCCTTTGCCACATGGACTATTTCCACACTCTTCAGCCCCTGCACTCTTTAGGCTGCTCCTGGTGATGGGCAGAGCAGGTTTCCTCCACCTCTGAATAGACTGGGTGAGAGTGTAGAGGTTTCTGCTGCCTCCCATATCGATAGCAGCAGCCCACAGGTGTTGAATGCCATAAGGATGCAGTGTTCAGCCAGTGGAGAGCTTCAGCACATGCCTTTCCAGTACAATCTGTTTTATCTTCTCAAGATTCTGATCTAGACCACCCAGACAGTGGAGGTTCATTCCTCAGTGCAGTCTAAGACTCACTGAGCCCACAAACACGGCTAAAATAAGTCATTTAGTCCTGCCATGCATCATGACTATTAGCATAAAAATAAGGGCAAACACTTTCCACACCCTACCCCTTATCTCAATTCTGCCCTTAAATCCAGCACGTGGCCAGGAGGCAGAATCACTATTGTGCAGGGGGAATCACTATTCCCCACCTGCAGTTCTTTAGCCAAACATATTCAGCAGTTGCTTCTCTCTCCCAAACTTTTCTGTGGTACAGAGAGGCAGCACAGCTGTACTGTGCATGTGTAAGGAAATCCCAGTCCTGGGAAAAGCAGCACTGGCTGCTTCAGCAGCAAACAGATGAAAGCAGCAGCTTGCCCTGAGCTGCCATCGCAGAGATCAACAAACCAGCGGCTCTGTTTATGCTGTGGAGCTTGCCCAGGAGCTCCAGACAAACAGGGAACCTCGTGTTGTTCCTTTGTCCCCGGGCAGCAGCAGCGAGCAGCGCACACAGCCCGCTGGCCAGAGCAGCCCTGGCTGCTAATCAGCACCAGAAACCCGACACGGGCCCGCTCATTCAGCCCAGCTTAGCGCTGCAATCGAAATGAAAACGGAAAGAAGGAAAACTCTGTCTGCCTTTCGCACCCTGAATAATAAATGACACCATCAATGTTGCCTTGCGATTGCACTTCCTTTGCTCCAAGATGAGATTTAAGAATGACTTTGAGGCTGACTTGCCTTTTCAAATATCCCGTTTTTCCCCCATCTCAAACTCGAGGATGCAACATGAATGAAATCAGAATTAGCCTCATTACAAACAAACAAGGGGGGCTGACC